TTCACCAGCGCGAATAGGCAGCTGACTAGATCTCACTCAGCTTTGACCAGCAGGCAAGTTTCACATCTGATTTTTTCATGTGATCCCAGATATACGTCCTCTTTCGGGACTCATATATATGTCCTCTTTCAGGACAGCTTCTAGGATATACACTCCAGGAACAGCTCTGGTCACCCTTAGCTGAAGGCATCTACCCAGGAGGGAGCTGGGACCAGTCACCCAGCCTGGCTTGGCTTCTCTCTTGTCACAGTAGCCAACGCTGTAGCTCAGCACAAGAAGGAAAAGGTTCTGGAGTGATGTCCTAGGGGCTAGAGGGGAGATCTGAGACCTGCCTTGGCCCCCATCCCGTATTCCCAGCCACGCCTGGTCTTTCATAGCTCACAGTCACACCTACAGCACCAGGAGTCTGATGGTTTTGACAGAAGACCCAAATGCTTGTGACAGCCCTTGGAAAAGGAGAAGAGGGCTCTGCTCACCCAGCTGAGTCTGGTTGATAAGGAGCTGCAGCCTGGGCTAGGCTTTGCAAGCACTGATGTGCAATGCCTGCGGGAGGTCCTTTCTCTTGCTTGCGCCTCTGGCTTCACTTTGCCTTTTAGTCATCTGAATGTAGGCATCATATGGACCCAAGAGAAATTCATGCAGCATCTTACCCTAGAAACTGAAAGTCTAGGTACCATGAAGAGGAATGGGCAAGGACATAACCTCAGCAGTGCAACACGACTTTGGGACTTGCATTTGCATCTGTCAGTGGAGAAACTGGAGGAGGCAGCACCAAATTCAATCAAAAAGAATTGAATCAAGGAATATCCTTTTCACAATTATTTCCTGCATCTGGCCAGCCAGACCCACAGCTCCACCAGCAGAGACCTCCCCTGAAAATCCCAAGGAGCCAGAATGAACAGGAAAACCATCTCCCACTCGCTAGGAAAGGTCTTCAGCCCCCGTCCTCTACAAGACTGCTTTATGCAAGGGCTGCTGTGACAACAGACGGCACGAGCTGCTTATCAGCAACAAATGCGTAAGAATTTAATACCTATAGGGGAAGTGGGGGTGGTGTGTGGCAGCAGGGGGAACAAGTGGCTGGAAGAGATAGCGGTCTGCCCGCCAGGGATGGGCTCCCCAGGGCAAGGGGTGCCCAACTTGTCCTAGTTATTTTTTTTCTCCTGCCTGAGATCAGAATGCATAATTGCAGGAGGAGACAAGGAGGAAAATGAGCCGAAGACTCGTAACTGCAGAGGCTGGTCCCTATGAGCAAAGGGCCACATGTCTCCTTTTATCGCCAGCCATAATTCCCTCCTTGGCTCAAAGGCGGCTGTGAAAAGAGCAGGACTGGTTCAAACTTCCTTGGGGTCTCCGTGGCAACGAGCCCCGCAGGAGCCTTTTCTTCTTTTCCCCCTTTCCTCTTTTGTTGTTGTTGTTGTTGTTGTTGTTGTTGTGTCATTAAAACTTCCCTGCCAAGGGCCCGGATTGAATCCCTGCGGCGCAGCTCCAGGCCTCCCACTGGCCTCCCAGCCAGCTGCCCTCACCCTCGGCCACCCCCAGACCAGCAAAGGGCAGACCCAACCTAGGCCAGTCCCAGCCTCAGACCCAGCCCAGACCCACATTTGTGGATTCCCCAGTATTTCAGCCTCTCAGCTCAGGGGAAAGGCTGAAAGGATGTTTAGCCTTTCATCCGTATGCCGATCAAATGTATCACCTCAGTATATGGGGATTCTGTGAATTTTTGGGCTGACTTGTCTCCACAAGGGTGCATCGTCAATGTAGACCTGTTGTCCATGTACCCATGGAGTGTTCACATAGGTTGAATCAGACCATGCTTGAGGAAAGCTTGTCTTGCTATCAGGTTCCAGGTACAGCATGACCTGTTGGGGAGGGTCCTACAGAGCATAGCATCCTTTGGCAGTCATATTCCTAGCCACACACAGCAATACTAGACTCAGCACAAGCCTCGTACCTGGTGTTTAAATACAGACGATAACCCAAGAAGACTGAGATCTCCTCCATTAACCCACACCTTTGGCAGGACCATTATCATGGGAGAAGTGAAAGGGTGTAGCTCATCAGAGTCATCTGATCAACAGAGCAAAACTATTGTTTATATCTGCTCCGGTGATATGCCAGCAGTGCTGGACTATGGCACTCACTTCTTGGCACTTTCAGGATTGGGACATGTGTAGGTGGAGATGTTATAGATGAGATCTGTAGTGATCCCTGTAGATCCCTAGAGCAGAGACTTCCATTCTAGCATCACTCCAGTGGCAGTGTCTACCACTATCATACAATACAGCCCAGGAGAAGTGCAACCTTAACATAAATATGTGTTGCTCCTTTCAGTCCATAAGCACTCACCTGCATCAGAAGGCTCCATGATTTCCACCCAGAACATCCTGGCCTGCAGTAAAAATATGTGGTCCCATTTTTTTACCATATATTTTACAGCCTTTAGGATATTCCCAGGTTGGAGTCCTGGGGAAAGAAGGGAGCAGCATGGCTCTGCTCTCTCTGCTCTCCATCCCTTCCCCCAGTGCCTGTGATGCATTCCTCCAGATGTCAGAGACAGAACTGTTTTCAAACAAGCCCAAGACCTGGGGCATAGTTTCTTCACAGGCTCAGTTAGTCCAATTAGTCAGATTTACTGCAGTTGTGAAAGGCAGCTCTCCTTGTCTTGTAGAGCAAGGCTGGCCTCAGAGACATAGGGTATAAAATTGCTCTGCACCATGCGACTGGAGACAGTGTACACTAACCATGAAATGCTTTGTACAGTGGATCTGTTCCCCAGAGAGCTCTGGGGCTTGTGTTAAGTCTGTTTCCTCAACAGCAAGACCATGTACCTCTACAACCATTCATTTACAAATTGTCTTTGGCCACCTATGCTTGCTCACACACACCTTTGTTTAGACCACATACACACACACTGACAATCCATGCTCTACATGTGCTCAATTATCTTAATCACACTTCTTCTGTATCCTAAGATATTGCTTCAAATTGATGAAAAATATGCAAGGGCACTTTTGCCCTGCGTGTTAGCCCACCTGACTGACGTCCTTCAGCTATGAAGGCTGAACAGGGTACTAGAAGTGACCTGGAAATAATTTCCACAAGAGCAACTGACAGCTGATGGGACAGATGATCTCCTCTGCCAGACTCTGATCTTCCCTTATCTCAGAAGAGAGTAGGGATGAGTGCAATCATCCTTGGATAAAAGAATAGAAAGTGAATAGAGGAGGCTATAGGGCTTCATCACAACTATTGCCTCTCTAAGCTCTTCGCTGAAGCAATATTCTTCCTTGATACAGTGTGGGTCAACACAGTTTCAGGCAAAATTGTGTCAATCAAAGATAACATTTACATTCCTTAAGATTTACATTGAAATCTTCATAATGTAGAGATCTACAGAAAACTTGGCTAAAAGCAAGGATTTACTGTATTTACTGAAGTTTAATATGAGTTTCAGTGCTAGCTCTCCGTGTCCCGAGGCTCCATTAGGTGATTCATTTCTACAGATCTCCATAGCAAGATAGAAGAAAGTGTCTTAAAAAGCTAAACAGAGTATGACTCGTGCAAACAGAGTATGAACTGCTAAAGGAAGTTAAGGAGGTGACAGTCTGAAAGAAAGATGATTTTATTCAAAGTCTGTAACAGTTCCAGTTCAGTAGCACCAATGCATTTGGAAACAGTGTCTATATTTAAGAGTAATGGTGGAGCAAGCAACATCCAACATTTCCACATCTTTCCAGGAGAAAAAAGAAAGAAGATGGAAGAGCATTTATCATTCATTCTGGCCTTCAAATACAAGAACTGGGATGCAGTTCTGCTCATATCTCTGGTAGCATCAGCAGCATCTATTTTTATTATGAAGTCTGTGATTCATAGAGGTACCTTGATTTCTAGCTCAGGTTTGCACACAACCAGAGGGTGAGGGAGTTCTTTCCCAGAGGACTTAATATAACACACATAAAAGTGACTGCTTCCAAAATTTTGCAAGCAGGAAATACAGGCACAAATAAGAAATCTGACCTATCAGAATCACAGTAGGAGTCATTGGCAAAGGCAAGAGCACAACCAACCCCAAGTTCCCTTTGTGTATGACAACAGGTACAACAATATGGCAAACGCTTGTTTCCAGCAAAAATGGAAGTCCAATATCCTTGGCCACAACACCTTCTGGGACATGAAAACCGTGGTAAAAAAAGAGCTTATAGCATCTCTGAAAGAGACAAAATATCTTAGACAAGCAGTGCAGGATTGCTGTACTGTGGAATGAGAAGAGTTTGTAGAAAAAAATTGAAGGGAGTGGAGGGAGAGTGTTTGCTGAAGAGTATGAACTTTTTACTGAAATGATAAAAACAATTCTGAGGAGTTTTGCTATGCTAAGAGCTCCACCATCATCTCTGTTGACACCAGACCTTAGTCTAAATCCCAGCTTTCTCCTCCTTTATACACAGAACGAGCTTTGTTTCATGTCTCAACAGAAAAAGGAGTCATGTTTCAACCTTTAGCATCTTCAGCCAGGGAATCGTTTCAGAGAAATATCAAGGAGAAATGTCATCATAGTGCTCATCTGACCAAGAAAATAATATCTTACTATCCTAGTGGATAGGACTCCTCCATGGTTGCTTCTTCTGCAGGCACCCAAAAGCTTCACACATCACCTATACCCAGAGCTCCCTTGAACATAGCAGACCGGCAGACACGAGAAGGCAGCTTTCATAGAATGAATCATAGAATGCTTAAGGTTGGAAGGGACCTCAGAGGTCATCTAGTCCAACCCCCCTGCTCATGCAGGGTCATCTAGAGCACATAGCACCTAGAGCACCTAGAGTCACCTAGAGCAAGGTCACCTAGAGCACCTTTCCTGCAATGCACTACAGCACATGAACTTACTTGCAGATCTCAATAAAACTTAGCTGGAGAAAGCATGGATTCAAGGCATATAATGAAAGGGAATGGTAGGCTAAGTGGGTCCATGCACTGTGAATGTGTTGGAGCATACCCCAACATCATTCGTGATGGAGCACATTGAGAAGATACATGAAAATATACAAAAATATATTAAGTTCTCATTTAAACAAGGCGAGAAGTGATGTAATACTCACTGAGGAGCTCTAAATCATAATGCTCAATTATTAACATGAGATTCTATGTTTCCAGGTAATGATTGTACTTTGATGTGTCCAGCTACCATGAACTGAGATAGGAAGGGTCAGAAAAGAGTGGAAGAGGAGAGTTTGTTAAGGACAGAGGGAACATAAATATCTACAAGAGAGGATATATGGCCAAGAAAGCTGAGGGACAACTAAATTTATGGACAAACATTAATATTATTGTTAATAAATTAGCAGCAAACCCAGGCCTCAGAAAGACATAAGTTTTTAGCAGTTTAGTTCTGGAATGCACCAAGTTCTTCATTTTTATTTGGAAGAGGATTGCTTCAGGTCTTTACATATTTTCCAATATGGATTTATTTTAGGATTAAAAGTGAGCATCACCAAAAACTAATTGCTATTTTACCTCCACTTTAGATACTAAGGCCAAAATTTAGTTCCACAAAACAATAAACTCATCTGCTTCGGAGATCTTGCACTACCTAAAGGCCACTCATACTGAGGAACCCATACAAGCATGGCAGAGGTGTGTTTTTGGCTCTGCCCAGAAGTACCAGAATGGGCAGTTCAACATCTAGCAACAGGGTTTTTTTTCCACCATTGAATCCAAGTTGATCTGCAAATCAAGCACTGTAATGGAATTGCTTAGAGCTACAGAGAGGATACTTGCTCTTGTATGAGTTCTACCTTCCCTAACACATCTTGACAGGCATCTGAACCCTCTCTGGCTGCAACAATCTCAGGTCATTCATTTCTTGTCCTTCTTGGTATGGTCTGAGTAAGCCTCTATGTGTCACAAAGATAATGGTGTCATGGTGACGATGGTGAACAGCAGTGCAGCAGGAATGATTTTGGGTCCTGGTGCATCGCATTCATCAACTGCTTGGTTTACTGAAATGCGCAATGAGACAAAATCCAGGCAGACTGCATGGTCCCAACAACTTCCCTGAGCACTTGGCTTCTTTCTGCCAGTTGATTCCCATGAAGGACACAGAACCTAAAAGAAGGAAAAGCGACAAAAGTCAGAGCACGGTCCTGCATTATGCTGTGGAGAAAGAGAATTATGTCTTTAATGAGATCATAGTGACATTTTGCTGGACTGATGTTAGAATGGTTGTTAGAATGAATCAAAGGATCTCTTCTAATGCCTGAACACCTACAGACAATAAGCTTGCCATGGGCTCTACTACATTGCTAGAACGATACCGAAAGACTTATACACTGACTTCGTAAAGGCAAAAGGACTTGTCCTCATCGGTCCTGGAGCTCTTGAAGCCAGACCTCTGGCATCCTCACATTATTTGTTCCAGGGCTTATTCGAACTTGGGTATTGCCAAATTATTCAGACCAATGCCTGAATTCTAAGGGCCCTCAGTAAATAAAACTCAGTCAACAGCATGAGGATGCATCTATAGGTGAAATTTTGAAATTGCAATCTTTTGTTAACTGTCATATCCTCTTAGATAGTATATTTAAAAGTAGGATTTGCAGAAGGACATATAAATATTTTTATTTATGAAATATATCATATATAAATATATTTGTTCAGGTTAGCATGAAATATCCCCAGGGTGATTTTAGCATCTAAGGATCAGATTATCAGAGAAAACTGAAAGTCTATAAGTTTTATGTCTAACATCATCTTCATACCAATGATACATGCCATGATCCCTGTTAAGAAATGCTTGTCATTTTGCTTCATGGGCCTAGACTAATACAAGTGAAATTAATGGACATTTTTTTACTCATTTCAGTGGGAGAATTTTGGAGCCAAGATTCACTTTGACCCGATTATTCTGTATCAGTCTATGACATCACGTGTGAGAGACCATAACGACCTCTGGTCACAGAACCTACAGGATCTCCAAGCGCAAACAACTTTAGACATACTCAAAAGCACATAGTATCTTCCCAAAAAGGAGGACATCATGAATTCCTGTTGACTGTGGGACAAACAGTCCTTGATGTTCAGAAAAGATAGAGTAATGGATGGGAGAAGTTAAAAGGTTTGCGAGGACAAGGAACTCAATGTGAGACTTGATCACATCACACTTTGACCTATCGAAGTCAATGGAGGGCTGTTCCTTGGCCTCTGATGAGCTTGGGGTCAAATCCTTACAAAAATGCGATGCTCCCTGATGCGACATCAATGTGACTCTGGCAGTTAGTGAAATGTGGGTGAGCCCCTTGGCATCTCTGCTTCTTAGCTAAAACAGCACCTCTTAAGGCAACACTGCTACACATCAATTTTTCCAGTAAACAGCAAATTAAGTCTTTTGATCTAGGGTCTTAGCTCACTTTCACACATTTTGTTGTGTGAAGAAGAAGCACCATTTGGCTTCTTATTGCCTTGATTTGTAATCCTAACCTGAAGAAGTTTATAGAAAGCAGTTTGCATTGTTTTCTGGTATCCAATGGATGGGAATGTCCCAGCCACGACATCTGCCAGTGTCCCATCTTTCTCTGTTCTGTGGGTGAGTGTCCCACAAGCTCCAACTCTGACTTGTCATTCAATTCAAATTCCAAAAGAAGCTTTCCCAAATCAGGTTTCTGTGCTGCTTTGGATTTTTCATCCTTTTTATGGCGTGTCAGTCACCTATAGGATCATCTGAGATATCTCCCTTCAGTCTCTTGCTCCTAACAGTTTGATATTTCAGTGACCAAAACACTTTCACCCAGTACTTTTACTTCCTATTCCCTATGTGGACCTCCTAATCATTCACCAACAGAGGTACAAATCTGAAAAAGAATTTAAGGTCTGGTTTTGTCCATAACAATTATTGTCTCTCCAGCTATGTGCCATGACTATGTCAGTCTTAGTAGTTTAAAAGTGACTGTGACCATTGTTTGGTATTGGAAACAGACAGACAGGGACAGACAACAGCCTGTATGGATCCTACTAAACTTGACTCTCAAAAGATAGGGTCATATCTTACGGATCTCTTAGGAATAGTTCCTATGCCATGCTAAGCCTGAAATCGTGGCAAAAGAATGTTGCTCAGGACAATGGTATTTCCCAGGTCGGGACTGTGACAGGGTCTATGCTTCAGATCTAACAACCCGGAAAATAAAGTTTCAGATCTGGGAACATTCCCGGTTTAATTTGGTGAACAGATTAAATCCATGGGTCTCCAAGTGTATTTCAAAACCTTTGCTTAGTAAAACCAAGTGATTGAAATCAGTCAAACAAAGCTAGGTGTGATGTAAGATTTTCAAAGTCAGACAACTAGTATTTGCTTTGGAATTTGAAATCTTACAAGAGGAACAAGCCACGTTTAATATGATGGTTGGTAAACCCATTGACCCAAGCCTGGGGTCTCATAGTCCTTGCAGCAGATTCAGGGATTGATGAAGAGGCAATATGCAGAGAAGGGAGGTGGTGGACGTCCTGCCCTGGACCCATAATGGGCAAAAAAATTGCTTAGCATCCATGAGAATAGCTGAGGCAGCTCTGCTCTAGCTCAGTGTCCAAAAACAGTAAAGTCTTTATGAAATGGGAATCAAGAAAGAGAGCAAGATGAGGCAGGTGCATCCCTATAATAAATTGCCGAGTAATTAATTTACACTCAGCGCCTTATACCAGGAGAAGGTCTTGTAGCATTTGAAACCACCAGATGCATTGAGCTGCTCAAGGCAGGACCTTGGACCTCTTTTATATCCATTGCTCTCTACTGCATTAGTTTGGTTGTTATTGATAAAGAGCTTAATTTCCGGACAGTTGTAAATGGCAGTTTCACTGAAAACAGTGGAGCTGTGAGGGCTCAGGATGCTCTGTGAGCAAAAGATCCTTTTTTTGTTTTTGACTTCTCCATTCTTTCTGTTGAGCCATCCCCTCGCCTTGCTACTCAAACACGATAGTTCCCGCAAATACAGCTCCCCTATGCAATAATAAAGATAGTTAAGGAAAACTGGGTCTATTTGCAACATGCTACCTGCAGAGAGAACTGATAGTGCTTGTAATGATCTTTTCTTATTGCACTCAGGATTTTTTTTTTTTTTTGATTAATATTTTCATTTTTTTGCACTTCACAAGACATTAATTAATAGAACACCTTCACTTTTTTCTCCTCCACGCTAACCATGACATGGCATTTTTTTTCTCATTTCTTCCCCGCTTCATCCATCCCACCCACAAATCACTAAAAGCCCGGGCAGTGCTGCTTTCATTTCAAGTTTATAAGCAGTTTTGTCCATGGGGTTCACTTCAACATACTGATAGACTTTCAGAGGGTTATTCTTTCTCTTTGGTGCTCCCTTCAACTCTGTCTCCCTCCCGCAAGGGTTAATATTCACCTCCCTCTCCATCTAAAGAATAAGTTGTCTATCTCACCCCCGCCATGAGATTAAGCGCGGTCACCATGAGCCTTCATCCTTACCTTGCAACGTCTTGGAGCACCAAGGCAGAAGCAGAGTCTGTGCATCCTGGGTTTCTAAGTGAACTTGAGGGGGAAAAAAAAAAAAGAAGAAGAAAAAGAAAAAAGAAAAACCCCACCAAAAAACCCCTCTCTAGCCCAGTAAGGTCTCTTGCAAAGAGAGTTGGAGTGTGGAAGCGAGGGCTAGGAACAAAGTTGTGGGGTAGAGGGGGAGGAGAGCGTGATTGACAGCGCGGAGCGGAGACTCATCCCTTACCTTGGGCCATGCGGTCTGATTGGCTGCCTGCTGACATCCCCAAGCCCTGCACTTTTTAATAGACGCTTTTGGATGATCTACAGGGAAAAAGGCTTGGAGAGGTGTGTTTCTGACAAGCCAGAAAGTCATTCGCACTTCCAAGGGACTTTGTTTAACTCTTCTTTTTTTCTTTTTTTTTTCCTTTTTTTTTCCTTTTTTTTTTTTTTTTTTCCTGGGAAGGGGGGCGGTCTTCATTTTCACACTTAATGTTTTTCTGAAAACTTCGCTGAGATTTTCCCCTTCCACCAGCCTGGACTAATGGATTACCACCTGCTTGGATTAATTTTATCTTTTCTCTTCAATGGCACAAAGGTCTTAGCCGGTTACCCAATTTGGTGGTAAGATTTCTTCCCCCTCCCCCCCGCCCCGCTTCCCTCCTTCCTCCTATGATTGATTAATGGATTAATTAATTATTAGCAATGGGATTTGTGTATATACGCGTGTTCCTTCCTTTTCATCCTTAGCCCTGCTGAGCTCGCTACGATTGCATGTTTGATTCTAAGCATAATTTCTTCAGATTTTCCTGATAATTAATGAAAAGTTTGGGGTTATTTTTAAAGGACAGTGTCTAAGCTTCTCTTTGCACAAATGGAGTCTTCCCCACCACTCTTAATTTCTCCATTTTTGTCACTGTAGGCATGGTCATTTGTTTTAGATGTAAACGAATGCGTTTTGATTTTCTTGTGCAATAGAAATTTCGTCTCTTGCAAGGCTTTTTAGCCATTATTTTCCTCCTTTTCCATCAAAGTGTGATCAATCCTGTTTTTTAAAAAAAAAATCTATTTTCTTTTTGGCTGATGCAGTTTTTGGACTTCTTTCTCTTCTTTTGTTGTATTCTGTCATGTGAATTTAGTCCAGCAAATAAACTGAGACCGCAAATGGCACCTGAGAAAATATTCATTAGTAAAATTCCTCAAAGATGGGTTTTGTTCTTTATATTTATAGAAATGTCACATATTTTCTTGCAGCAACAACAAAAACAACAGAAAGAAAAAACAAAAGGAGTTGTATTTTATATCTAACTGATAAGTGAGCTGAGTTATTCCTCATGTTAAAAATAAATATATTATTAACAGAATGCAATAGGAAGAGCTTTAAAATAAAAAATTCAGAATAAAATTTGAGGTCATTTAAACATAGCAGGCAGTGAGTTGCATAACAGAATATTTCAGCTAATTTCTCTGTGCATAATGTAGGATTTCTCATTGGAATAAATCTCATTAAGTTTCTCTGTGTTCCAGGTAGAGGCTTTAAGCCTAATGTTCCACAGGGCAAAGAGGGAGATGTTGGAATTAGTGCTACAGAGATTCTCGGATGATTTTCATCCTTTTTAGCCTTCCCAGAAAAGTCCTTTTTTTATTATTCCTGAATTAGATCCTTTCAGTGCCAACATGGAGATGGCAAGAAGTAGGTGGGAGTGAACTTGGAAATGGACTGCCATGTCTGGGAATATTCAGAAATGAGCTTGGAAAGCCGATTTTTTTTTTTCGATAATCTGCTTATTGCCGTGGACTTTACGGAAGAATATGTGCAGCCGCAGTAGTGAAAGACCAAGAGCACAATGAGAAGTCCCCGCTCAGGAATTGTTTAAAAGCTACGCAGGTTCATGAAATGGCTAAATCACAGCATGTTTTCTCAAAGAATTAAATGATTTCCTCACCCCAACCACAGCTGCTTAACTTCAGGGCCTGAGCCTGAGGCAGAGTAGACTACGGAAATATAGATCACGTCGCTTTGATTCTTTATGCCCTTTTCCCATTCACGTGGGGAGCAGCGCGTCTAAGTAGGGGTGTGCAGCGGGTAGCAGCACGGGTCAAAATTGCCTTGCGGGATCCAAAGGGAACAACCTGCCACTGGAAACTATATGGGGCAACGGGAGCTTGCGGTGACATCAGCTCTCCCAGGGTCTCGCTGATTCCTGACCTGCCTCAGGCTCTGATATAAATCAGGATTTAATACTTGAATCAGGAGGGATTTCGCTTCCAGAGCGAGGAACCCAAATCTCCTTGAAGGAAAGGTCTGGTTTTTCTCCCCTCTCTCAAAAGAATATCTTCCCCCTTGCAAAATGCCTCTCCCTGTTTCCAGCAGAAGACACCACAGACAAGTGTCCTGGCCATGCCCTTTGCTTCCCCAAAACTGGTTCCAATTTGTTCCATAAGGAATGATAATATGGAAGAGATGCAAGACTGCAGGAGATGAGCTGAAATACCCAGGTCATGGCAGGCAGCATATGACAAAAAAAAAAAAAGTGAGCTGTGCGCAGAATTTCACTTCATAAACCTGCATCTTGCACATTTTAGGAGATTTGGGCAGTGTACAAGGTGCCAGAGAGTTTCTGCTGCACTAACGCAGTGAGATGAGATACCCCAGATAGGGACTGGGGCTGGGGACAGGATAGCAAAACCAGCAAAAGGTTTTAGTGGCTTCTTCCAGGCAGAGAGAAGAGAAGGACTGAAATATTGGGAGCTCCCTGACTGCTCAGACAGACACAAAGCTTCCCCCAGCTTGCAAAATTCAGTGTCTCCTTCAGTCCCACTGAAAGCGCTAAATATCCACTGAGGTGCTGAATTCACTGTCCTCTCCAGGTTAATGAGAGGTATATTCTTTTAAAAAACAATCCCTTTCAGGTTGTTTTCCTGAGCACCAGTGCTCTTCAGGTGCAGAGCGGGCTTTGGGGCAGGAGTCCCCCTCACAGGCCTGAGCATGCCTGCGTGCAGACGGAGGGGAGCAGAGATGGTGAAGGGTCTCCATCAGCTCCCCTAGCTCCCCAGGCCGGGCTGGACAGGGAGATTGGCAGCATTTCTTCTGCTGAATATGAGACCTTTGGGAATACTGTCCCTTTTGCAGGACCCCAAGAGCACTGGCGGATAATCTCCGATGATGGCAGTGCAATCTCTTTGGGTATTGCTGTTGCTCTGCTATATAGAGACTATTTCTTCACCTAAACCTAAGCAGATTATTTCGTCTGCAGATTGTAAGAGGTTCATCCCTATTGATGGCTGTGGGTCTAAATGGAGAAAAAAAAAATGTTTCTGTAGTTTCTGTAGTGGGGAGGCAGTGTCTGGGAATACACAAAGAAAAGATGTGCGGGGAAAACATGGTCTCAGAACCGAGCGGAGGAGCTCAGGGATGTCTGGAACAGTTCATCCGCCCCAGAGTGTAGTCAAACAGCGCCAGCAAGCACATCACTGGCAGTGCAGAGGGAAGGATAAAAGCAGAAAGATGAAGCTGCTGAGCGTTTATACTGAGTTTTCTTTTACTAATTCGAAAAGGGATAGGCTTGTTGTGCAAACACAGATCTTGGGGGCCCAGGAGAGCGGGTGGCAACAGGGCAGCAGGATGGTGAGGGAGGCTGGCTGTAAAGCCAACAAGACCAAGGGGCAACAGTCAAGATTGTTATCAGCCATTGCTATCAACTCCCCAGCACAGTCCCTTCCCCAATAAAGCTGCATTTTCCTAGGCAATGCATGAGCAAGGTCCAGGGATATTGCAGACTGTACATGAATCTTCATTGAGAAGGGCCTTGCATTTTGCAAAAGGGACAGGTTTTGACAAAATTTCCACCCTGTAATTGCAGTGAAAAGGGACAAATGTGGCACAGATGCAAAAAGGTCATTGAACCACTGCCTATGAGACCACTGATGGTGATGCTAAAAAAAAGCTTCCTTGGATATACTGTACAACACCTTCCTTGCCTGGGTTACAGCTGAGCTGCTGTAAGGAAGGAGAGGCCCCAAAGGAAGAGATGAAGACACATGGGGAGGCCAGGAGACCCAGGCCTGCTGCTTTTCCTGTCCCTTTAGGGATGGCATTGGTGAAAGCAAAGGAGGCGATGAGGCCGTTGCTGCAAGGCCAATCTTGCAGCTAGTGGCCTTGGGTCAGATCAACGATGCTCCTGGGTGCCTGCAGAAGGGGCAGCAGCGACTGTAGTCACATCCATAATCAGTTTTTTAATGTCAAATCCATATGCCCTCCTAACAACAGGCATAACAGCACACAGTTCTGTCTGGGGGATGATATATATGAAGGTATGTAAGACTAGGCAAAGTTGAATGCAGATAGGCTGACGGACAGGCCCTGAAACTTTCAGGTACGTTAGTTGTCCAGAGAGAATTTATACAAAGGGGGTTATCCAACCCATGCAGAGAGCTGTGCTGGTTTGATCTCACAGAGATACTGTGGCCCAAAAAACAACTAGAAACCTGCTCTCAGATTGGTGATGGGTATGAAGGGGCTTAAGGAGACAACCAAAAAGATGGTTTCACCCATGCGCTGAGGAGAAATACCAAATGCTCTCCTCTCCCACGTACGTCACTCACCTTTGAGTGGGGCAAGGACTCTTCAAAGCCCTAGCACTTCACCAGGCTGGGAAAAGGAGTCAGTCCTGGAGCCACCAGTGGACCCAGGGACTCTGGAGTAAAGACCAGCTTCACTCTTTCATGGATCTTCAAGACACAGGTCACTGCACATAATTATGACTCTAGCATAGTGCATCTCCCCATCCAGCCTTTCTTGGTCTCTACACAGACGGTTTGGCAACTGGAAGAAGGACTTCGTCCATTATATGTTATTAAATTTTATTTTTTATCCCTCAAAGATATTTTCAAGAGACTGGAGGCTTTGGCAGCTCACTGAGGATCGCAGTGGCCTTGGGCCTCTGGGAAGAGGCAGATAGAAACTTGAAAACAAGTTTTCACTGATCCTACAGTAGCTTCCTCATTTGGAAAAACCCATATATGAAAACCATTTGCATGTAGATGCAGTATGGGGTGGCATGTGGTTTATGTTCTCCAGCTTTAAGTGTTTCACCTTGCTGAAACGAATGGGAGAGTTCATTCTGTTCATCGTCTGTTCACCCTTTCTTCTTTCACTCTCTGAAGTCTCAAAATACTTATATCTTGAACCTCGTGTTTGTTATATACATGTGGCCCTTAAACCTGTATTTAAAAGAAAAATGTAAAATTGCAGTTCAGAATCAGACTACAGGAGTGAATTTCCTGATGCAAATCCAGCTGCTAGTGAATTACAAAGAAGAAAAATAACCCCAGGTATAATTTCCCTATACCTTAAAATGCAGCCAGTTCTGGCAAAAAATGATTAATAAAATGATGAAGTGTGTAACTGAGAGAATTGACAGCACCTACCATTTGAGCCTAGAGTGCTGCTCCAGCTCCCGGCCTTGCACGTGAAGCCGAAGCTCCTCTATCAGCAGCTTGTGCCAGCACATGAATCACAGAATCACAGAATATTTAAGGTTGGAAGGGACCTCTACAGATCATCTAGTCCAACCTTCCTGCTCAAGCAGGCACACCTACAGCATGTGGCACAGGGTGGCATC